GCAGTGATAAAGAGACAAACCTACTATTTGGAACCCCAGAGCCTCTGTTTTACAAGTGACTGCCCGTTTGGACTGAACCTCCTTTCCAGGCTGTGACCTGAAGCCAAGCAAAAGTGTCTACTCTTGTGCTGCTGTACATGAAGCACCGTGGGATGGGCAGGATCATACAGAAAATGGCTGACTTTGGGGCTGGAGAGTGTACTTTACCTCTGCTGAAGCAGCAGGCTCCTTTTTGACCTGTTTCAGAATATAGTGCCTGCTCAACTGTGAGACTCATAAGAAAAGGAATACAAAGTACTGAGAAGTCCATACAACCAGGCAAAGGGAAAACGCTCACACATGGGTGTTCTGCTGGGTTGGTCTCATTCTCTCTCTCTCTCTTTTGTCCTGGGAATTGAGCTCAGAGCCTGGTGTATGCTAGCCTCTATCTCAGTGTGACAGCCCCCAGTCCTGTGCTGGGTTGACTTAAAAGTTATTCTTGAAGTCTGAGTTTTCTTAGTTGGAAATACTTTTTTTAAAAATGTAATTTATTTTTATTTACACTGGTGTTTTGCCTGTATGTGTGAGGGAACAGGCTGGAGACATTTGTGAGCTGTGAGCTTCCATGTGGGTGCTAGGAATTGAACCTGGGTCCACTGGAAGAGCAGCCAGTGCTATTAACCGCTGAGCCATCTCTCCAGCCCCATCTTAGTTGGATATGCTTTAGAGATGCTTATTCTACCTCAGCCAGAAGGAGGAGGGCTACAGCTTATCTTATTCTTATTTTACATGGCATTAGCCTTTATCCAACCAACCACGTCCCCATACAATTATATTTATATTTTTGAATTTCAAATAAGGAAATTCCACAAGGAAAATTCTATGTTTTATTTCTGTCTGACATGGTAACCTGTGATTTAATACACACACACACACTTGACTTTCTTCTAAACATTCATAAAAATTCTTCTTTAGCCTCACCTCAAAAGTACGAAAATAATTTCCATTTGGGGCTCATAGGCCAAATCAAGGCAATGGCTCTGCTTAGCTATTTCATTGATCAAGTAATATTAAAAGCGAGGCAATGGCTCTGCTTAGCTATTTCATTGATCAAGTAATATTAAAAGAGCCTCTGACTGTTCTCCCCTCCCACCCTGTATGTGTGAGAGAGAAAAAGAGAGAAAGAGAATCTTTTTCAGTCTCTGAAAAGGCACTTTATTCATCCTACAGCTAAATAATCTCAAGTTGTGTATTAGCCAACAACCCAAATTTGTAATGAACCCACCCCTCCACAGGAGCTGCTTATACCTGCACAGACTTATAGGAGGTGATGAAAGGGAGCATGAGATGGAAACCAGGGCCACTGGTGGAGGTCAGCAGGGCACCACCTCTGCAGAAGAGGGAGAAAGGCAGCTTCAGTATCTCAAGAGAAATATCTTAGATCAACCTGTGGGTCACGACCCCTTTCACGTCAGGCAACCCTTTCACTGCGGTCGCTTAAAACCACCCATACCCACAGATATTTACGTTGCTGTTCACAACAGTAGCAAGATTATAGACAGGAAGTGGCAACGAACATAATTTTATGGTTGGGGGGGTCAGCACAACATGAGGAACTGTATTAAAGGGTCACAACATTAGGAAGGCTGAGAACCACTGCTTTAGATCAAGCCTTACGGGCCAACCACAACCATCTGTCTACTCCTACAAAAACCTAATACAGAGTGACACATGCCAGTGTCGTGTCTACCCCTTCTTCCTGTCTTCCTTCTGTCTCAACTTGAACATTCTAGGAAGCCTGATGGAAAAACATAAAGCCATTAGTCATACTTTTGGCATCTGAGAAGTAAGTATGTAGAATAAGCACAAAAAGCAGACTCCCTGGCTGCACACGATCAGAGAGAAGCCCGTCAGAACTGCCGACCTGTGTAGCCTGCGGTAGAGTGTTAAACCCAGTTTCAACGAGCAGCATCACTGTTGGAGTACAGTGACATGGGCAATAAAAGAACTTTCTTTGGCAGTGCTAGGGCTGAACCCTGGGCATCATACATTCTAGTAAAATACTCTACCAAAATGAGCTGCAGCCTGCTCCTTAAATATACTACAGTTGGAAGTGACAGACTCCACGATAGAAGAAGCAAGTGGAATTTAACTAACAGAGGAAGGCCGAAGAATCTTAACCAAAGTTTCAGTCTAACTTAGAGCAAAAGGGTAATTCACTTTCTTTTACCCGACCATATTTGAGAAGCATCTGGGGTGCACATATGATAGCTCACCATTTTTGAGACAGATCTCTTGCTACATAGCTCTGATTTGCCTAGTACTTGCTATGTAGTCCAGGCTGGCCTAAAACTCATAGTAATCTTGCCTCAGCCCTCACACAAGTGGTGGAATTACAGGTGTTGATCCATCATACTTGGTTCAAGAATAACTTTAAAGTCACTTCAATACATATTAAATATATAATATGTGTTTTTGACATATTTCTAACCAAGTTGCCTGTGAGTGGCAAAACTAAAAGCTTTTGGGGAACATGAAAGCAGATGGCAGAGATAAATCACTAAAGAGGAGGGGGAATGCAATAAAAGGTCATATCTCTTTTAATTATTATTTTTTAATTCTGGGACTTGAGTATGTTAGTCAAAAGCTATTCCACTGAGCTACAACTCTAATTTAACAAGCATTTTAGAGCTTGCTATTGGCAGCCCATACATTTTACAGGACCCATATGAAAGAAGGAGTCAAGCTGATCATGTTGACACATGTCTTTAATCGTAGCACTTGGGAGCAGAGGCAGGTGGATCTCTGTGAGTTCAAGTCAGTCTGGTCTACACAGAGCATTCCAGGCAAGCAGGGCTACACAGTGAGACCCTATCTCAAAAGGGGCAATGGTGTCATAAAGGCTTACAGCAAGGGCTGGGGTTATAGTTCAGTAGCCGGGCAATTACCCAGCATGCATTAGCCTCTGAGTTTGATGCTCAGAACCACAAACATGCAGTCAAGCAAATTCACCTTCTAAAATCTAAAATGAAAACCTTGGGCACAGAAGCCACTGGAAAGAAAGTGACTCAAGATTATTTAACAGTCACTCTCCTTAAGCTGCCTTGATTGACACCGATCATCCTCTAGAACCTTTAAAAGTTTTTTTTGAAATATTCACTTTCAAACAGTCTCTCAAGTCACCAGAGTACTTCTCAAGTTGCCACCAAGAACTGGGACTCTGCCAACTTTTACAGAGGTAGCCTTGCAGTCTGTAGACAAGATTCTTCAAGGGATGCAAGAGAAGACAGTATCTCACAGATGATCTGGAAAGCGCACTGATTCCTTGAGACCTTTGTCTTTAATCCCATAGATACACGTATCAGCAGTGCCTTAAAATACTAAAGACAGTTTTAAGTTTACAAATTTAAATAAATACGCACACAGGCGCCCTTACCTATGGCCACAGCCTTAAAAGCTCCACCTGGAAAAGACTCTCCTATTTAATAAAATAAACAGATGTTAGCAGGATCTGCTGGCCAGTGACAAGGGAAAGGAGCCAGTTTCTGCCTTACCTGTAATATACTCCAATATGTCCCTCTTCTATCTTGTGGACAGCTGAGAAGAGGGATGCGCAAAAGAAGCTGGAAGCCACAGCCACAATTGCTCCCAACTGAGCCATCAGTGAACCTGTAACCTACAGATAAGGGACAATGTGGTTTGACATACAGGAGAGAGGTTGCCACACTCAGAGTAGCTCGTCAAGCTGTAGCTCAGGAAAAGTGATTCAGAAACAGCCTGCTGTGGCAGAACACAGTGCTGGCCAGATCTACAGCTCATTTCATCCTTGTTCTCTGTCAACATTCTCGTCCTTAATTGTGGGAAGCGAAGAGGCACTAGCTCCAGATACTGCTATACCTAAGGGAGATTCGGTGGCAACTGGGCAGCGTTCAAAACACAGCCTTCTCTTCACTTCTCATTAATGGGTTGTCACTGGAGACGCTTACACGAGTAAGGAAGAGAGGCAGCTGCAGTGTGTTGGGCCAAATTACAGAGGATGTCAAATGACAGTCAGCTGTGGCTATCTATGCGTTTCTGGTCAGAGCCTCCTACTTCTAATTGCCTGCCATTGCGAAGGAAACCACCAGTCATTCCCTTGGGACCCTAGGCAGAGAGACAAGCAATTGAGTTCCGAGGTAGGGTTCTCTGGCCTGTCATCCACCTCCTGTTACTCCTTTGAACTTAAACGGGACGGATACTCTTCACAAAACCGAAACCACATTCTCCCATATCCTTTGCCCCAAGCCCTGCGTTTATAGGAAAACGTGCCACACGTTGGGAGACTCTGAACTCCTGGAAGGTTCAAAACCGTCCGGGTACCGATGTGCGACAGTTACACCTAGAAACTCATTTCCCCGAACACTGAATGATCCGGTAAAACTACGGCGAAGGACGGGCACATCGGCACAGGGCGCGGGTTCCACCCTTCAGGTCTAACTTATTTTACCGTGGCGGCCTCCAGCTACCCAGCAGTAGAGGCCTCCTCTCCGCAAAAGTCCTCACTGCCAGCCCACGCCCCCTCGTGCCCTTTCCCCGCCCTCCTCCGCGAGACAGGCACGTCCGAGGTGCTCCCGCACGGAACCATGGGCAAGGGACTGGACAGACAGGGGTTCTTTCTGCGGCTCCCGGGTGGGCGGGCTGAGGAGCCGTCGGGGCCAGGGCCCGGGAGCTCAGTGAGCCAGCGCCAACCCCGAGCCGCCGGGAGGCCGAACGTGCACTGAGGGGCGGGGGGCCGCGTACCAGACTGTCCCTCCAGGCGCTCCGTACACGTCTGAAACCTCAGGGCAGCCGCAGAAACCGCCACACCCCTCAGCACGCTACTTCCTTCCGGGCCAGGCGCCTCGATGACGCCATCAGTCCGCGCGCGCAAAGAAAAAAGACCCCGCCCCTACCCCCGTGCTCGCCCGCCTGCCCCGCCCCGCTCCGCCTCGCCCCGCCCGCCCCTCGCTCTGTGTGCCGCAGTTTTCGGCAGTACCGCCAGGGAGTGCCCACGAGCCGGCCCAGCGGCTGCGGACAGACCTGGTCTGAGGATGGCTACGGAGCAGGTGCCCAGGGCGGGCAGAGTGGGTTCGGGATACCTACTATCACTTCCCGAGGTTTTGGCTTGGCGATTGCTAGAAGATTCTTCGCTTCGGGTCGAGCTGGGTTTCTTTTCTTCCGGAGCAGGTGCCAAGGCGATGCGGCGTTCCTGTTCTTTGCTCGCTGCTTTCCTGCTGCACCAGCTGAAGGAAACAACTTCCAAAAGCGCAGATTATGACGTCGCTAGTCAACAGTCCTACTCTGAATTGCTCTTTATACTTTTCTGAGAGCTTTGTTTGCCCTTGAGGTCCCCACAGCAACATAAAGTAATTAACAAGGAATTATTGTCCTCAGTTTAATGAACGGAATCTGAATTCTATGAGGGGTGGGGCCAACAACAGTCGTGAAAAACTTCCTTTGCATTTCCTTAATAGTTCAGGCTTCCTGTCTTGCTTAACACCAGCCACGGTGAGCTTATGTCCCCCCTCCCCCCCCATCTGCACCCTGGGACATAGTGGACCAGGAAGAAAGCTGGACTTTATGTCTAAGGCCCTCTCATGTCCTCACCCAGCAGCAACATAGTATTGGGCATTCATATTGGGCCTTTTCTCCTGGAGATGGACCTAAGAAAGGGCTTTGTGGCCACACTCCATTCCCGAGCTGCTCCCTTAGCCGGGAATTTCTAAACCAGCCACTGAGGTAATTTTGTTTGCAGGCCAGAAGTGCACTCTCTAATTCCAGCTTTAAGAAAATGAAAAAACTTTTCCATAAGGTACATGGCCAGTCGTCAGTGTTGGACGGTGTTAGGACTCAGGAAAAGGAAAGTAAAGGAACCCCTTTGTCCGCTCCGGAAAGCTAAGGCACTGAAACTGAATTCAAAGTTCCGTGAAGCCAGATGTTTGCAGACAGCAGAAGAAAGGCAGCTGCCCCCTATCCCAGATACCCAGTGGCAGCAAAAGCAGAAAACAGACCCTGTAGGTTCAAATCCAGCTTGTCTAAGGGAACTGGCGTACTCCCCATTCTGTCTGTAATGAACCCCCTTCCACTTCCTCATTCTTAGCTACAAAACCCCCTGTGCTCAAAGCATGTAAACTGCATTCTCTCGAACTCTGATCCTGCGTCCTGTCCAGGGTGTGGACAGAACTTGAGAAGCTACCTCTCTGGCATTAAACAAAGCCTACTTCAGCTGTTTGAGGTCATCTAAATTCTCTTTTGTTTCTCCTTACAAGCAGTTCTTACATTATTTTACATACTGGTACCAAAGCTCAGGAAGGGCTTCCAGGGTATTATAGCCCTACAGGGCTCCTCCTTCATCTCAGTCTTAACCCTGTCTCCAGTCTCTCAACTTTCTTTGCCTTCCAAGCACCACTCTATCCTTAGTGCTCACTAAGGCTGAAGAGCAGGCAGGTCAGCTACTGGAGACTTTACACAGTTTGCAACCCCAGTTCCTAGCAGCCTCACTGATGCCTGAGTGGAGCAGAGGTTTCAGTTATGGAGTCCTTGTTTGCAGACTTGGTAAGCTTTCTTGCTCTTACCCTCCAGTACCCCTGAGGCCAGCCCTATTTCTGGAGTCACCCAACAACAGCCATTTCCCTGCTCGGCATGCATGTGGGTGAGGGCCCGTTTGTTTGCTGTGTTGTCCTGGGAATTAGACTCTGTTTCAGGAGTCTTTTATACTTCTCTCTGGAAACTCTTGGGAATTTCATTCCAGTGAAACTTCTGTCTCTGGAGGACATTCCAGAGCAGGAAACTGGCCTTGGCTCATGTTTAGACCTACAAACATGGGCAATAATCCCTCTGTTCCCAAAGACAGTCTTGGCTTGCTTATTTTTTTTTTTTTTTTCAAACAACTGGGCCTCAAGTTAGATGTTGATCTGGCCCTAATATCCCCTTGACAACCCAAACTGCTGGCCTAAATTCGTCATGTTCCAGTCAAACATCCCGAAAGACCTCGACAAAATGCCTGCAATGAAATGGCAAATGGTTGACTATATCAGAGGTTCACTATACCTTCTCCTTCCACCATGGGCTCAGGGGATCAAACTCAGGTTTTCAGCCTTGTGTGGCAGAGTCACACGCACTCCCCCAGCCCTTCCCCTCCGCCCCAGCCATCTCACTGGTCCTTAAGTAAAGATCCCTGAAAAAGATTTTTATGTGAACCACATCTCTTATGGAAGGAAAAATTTACCTGATGTTTAAAAAGAGCACTTAGTTTAGAAAAAGATACTCTGACTGAAGATATAACATTTATGATCAGATGGCATCTGGGAAAAAGTTAGTGGAATACATAAGGATATTCTGACAGAAAAAGTCGAACAACACTTTTCCTTTGCAGACAGTCTTGCTTTGGGAAGTTTCTGGGCCTTTCTCTCAAACCCCTCCATTTTCACAATAAGATGTGGTTTCTAAAGAAAGGCGAGTTGACAGTTTGAAAAGCATCCAATAGGAGGGATGGAGAGATGGCTCAGCAGCTAAGAGCTCTAGCTGCTCCAGCCAGGACCCTGGTTTGATTCCCAGCACCCACATGGCAGCTCACCAGCAACTGTCATTCCAGTTTCAGGGGCTCTGATGCTCTCTTCTGGCTACCACAGGCACATGGTGTACAGACATATAAGTATGTATGTGTGTATGTATGTATGTATTGGATTTGCTTTGCACTTTAGTTCTTTCTATAGCCCAGCTACCCCTCCTCTTCTTCCTGTTGTCTCTCTACCCACAGAGACTGCATTTTCTGGGCTTCCATTTCAGTCATTTTCTTTTGGAACTTCGGCTGCCCCTTGCTCTCTTCACAGGGGACGGTGGCAAAGGTCCAGAACAGAAACTGTTTCTTCCCTCTCTTTCTAGGGAACAAAGGTCTCCTGGAAGAAGCTGGCGAGCCTTGAAGCAAGCTGCTGCTTTCTGCTGTTTCAGTTCTCCCACCAGCCAGGGCGTCATCATCATCTTCTCTGGTGAGCATGCTGTTTTTTTCAGTGCAAAAGCAGGTGGTTAGCACACAGAGAATAGAAGTACCTTCTTTAATGGGACACCCACAGCATCTTCTTCCAAGGTCTAAGTAGGGCAAGATCTGGGATGAAATTCAGAGTGTTCATCCCCTGATTTCTTCTGTCCATTTATCAATTTCCAAATCAATACCATCAGGCTGAGTGAGTGCTTTCATAGGCGGTTTCTTGGGGAAGAAGGGCACAATTTTAAGAATTCTGGGATCAAGTCCTGCTGTTTTGAACTTGTACTGTCATGGTTTCCTGGCCTTGTCCTTTGTTGCACTGATGCATGCTGCAGGCCTTGCTTGCTGTTTGGTTTGCAGTGCTGGACTCTGGGGATCTCATTCCTAAACCAGCTACTGACTCTTTCGTTGTCCCCACTGGTTACATTTACGGATGCTGAGGAAGATACTGAAAATACAGACTCATGATTAGGCTAAGGGCAGACGTACTGTGCCAGCTGCGCCACCTGCAAGGTGGCAAATTTCTAAAAAGTCCTCATGAGCAAGAGGAGAAGACAATGAAGACGCATCAGGGAGTAGTGGAGGTGGGGAAAGGATGAACAGTTTAAGGAATGTTCCCTACGAGGAATGGGCAGCCTGTGGAGAAACCAGCGAGCCATGCCACCAGGGCAGTTGCCTCTCATTCCCTCAGGGAAGAGTGACTTGGACAACATCCTAAGAACCAGAAGGAGTATGAGGAAGTGAACTTCACATCTGAGCTGTAAACACACCCTCTTCCTCCTGTCTGAGTAACTCAGGGATGAATTATAATTAAGCCTTTCAACCTGTCCAAAGAAAAGTAAAGAACATTTGAGGAAGCAGCCTTCATCCTGCCCAATATAAACTACTGGGGTCATTTTTATTAAAAGTGCCTTTTTGACTTAGATGGTGTTGATAAGTTGTCACACGCTGTGAAAAGCTCACTCTGGAGATGGGGGCTGACCCACCCACTGCAGACAAACACATGTCTGCCTCAGAAGTTTCCTCACAGACAAAGTTATCTTATTGGTCTTCCCATATAACTTAGATCCAACTTTCTAAAATAAGATGATGTTATCTAGTATCTTCTCAGTTTAACAAATGCTGTCTTCATGCCTTCAGCTGTGCTTGCCTGAAGTGATCACAGCTGGATTTGTTATATAGTATTAATACTTCACAGGAGAAAGAAATGGGCAAGGCCATCCCAGCCTTAGGCCTCAAGGTTTTGGGGGAAAATGAATATACACACACACATATGCTCGCACACACATGCATGTACACAAACACACAAGAAACACACATGACTTAAAAGGGGGGCCTCCACTTATGCACGTATGGAAAAGTTATTGTACATAAATAGACACTGCTGAATTTTCCTCCAGGGAAATTTTCTCACAACAGATAGTGTGTCAGTCATGTCTCACAGTACTCAAAAGGTTAAGGCATCTGAATGTTTCCAAAAATTATCGAGAGACAAACAAGAGGTACCGGTCCTCCATGACTTCTGACGAGGATTCAAGAACATGAGCAGTACCGCTTGCCCTCTGAGGCTACAGTCACAGGCCAGCAGTAAAGATCTTTAGCTCTGAGGACTTTCCCCTTTCGAGTTCTTGTTACAAAGGATGCTCCCTCATCCAAAACCGTCGATATGTCTGAATCCCTTGTTAAGATGTAAACTCATTCACCCAGGATCCTCGAGACCAAACAAAAACGTAAAAGTTTAAAGCCAACTCACAGAACCTCCTAATAAGTTACACAAAGTCTACAGAGGATGTCTTGAGGCAAGTTTGTCACTATTCTTAAGGCCATGGTACTCTGTTCATGTGAACAAAGACTGACCTTGAAATGTATGTCTAATCACTTATGTCATTAAGCTTTAACTTTGGGGAGACTGAGTCACAATAACAGCTGTGGTAATGATTAATTGTACACATTTATTTTTATTTTATGTTTTATGGGTATTTTGTCAGCATGAATGTCTGTCTGTGTACCATGTGCCCACAGTGCAGGCCAGAAGAGGGAGCCAGATGCTCTAGAGCGAAGTTGTGAGCTGTCTGGGAATTGAACGCAGGTCCTCTGAAGAGCAGCTGGTGCTCTTGACTGCTGAGCCATACTCCCCCATTTTTATCCTTATGAAAACCAGCCTGACTGTTCTCTCCTCTGATTATATTATTTGTGATAAAAATGCGAGTGCTT